TAGCTGTGTCTGTCTTCATGAATGGACAATAAGTGTTACTTCAGCTCTGTACCATAGTCTGCAGTAAAGAATCTCTTTAAGTTCCCGACCTCTATGTGGGTCCCACTCCACCTTTCTCCTTCTTCTATAAAATAAACTATAATCTAACGAACTCTGCCGAGCCTCTATAAGACTGGTAACATTTTGTTACAACTTTATTTCACACTATTAATCTAACGATTATGTTTTCAATCTACTAGGTTCGTTTTCTATGATCATATTTACCTGAAAGTTAAAGTCTATTATCAATCTATGTCGCAACCCACAATTCTAGGAGCCATTCAAAATCGTGAAATATGATTTGCTGCATCTCCTTTTACATATTCGCCTGGAAAAGACAGCCACAAGCTAAACTTTCAAATATTTTTATGGAAACAAACACTGTAGATTTTATACATATATATATAAAAGCTGATACAACCATTAACGTACTAAACTAACATCACTGTCTAGCAGCAAGTAAATAACACTTGCAAAGTAGAAATTCAAAATAAAAAAATATAATTCCACTTCCAGATCAAACACAACATTTTTACGGGATGAAACAGAATTTGTATTTAAAAAAAATGAAATGGTAAAATGAATTCAAGACCTCTAGTACCCTTGTGGGACAACGATAAGTCTACGGATTTACAACGCTAAAATCATGGGTTCCATTCCCTTCGGTGGACACAATAGATAGCTCGATGTGGCGTTACTATAAACACCCAAACATTCGTGACCTGTACTCCTGCCATCTGTTGAATTTAACGAAAAAACAATTTCTTCAAATAACTAATTTACAAAGTTTTTGGTGATATAGTGCTGCCATCTATGGATGACTCAGTTAAAAGTATAACAAGCATTCTGTTGTAATTCAATCTATCCTATTTTTTTAATTATAAGGCTATGTCTCTAGGGTAAAGATAATAAAGTTGTTATGTAGTGGAACTTCAGTTATAGTGTGCATTCAGATATCAGCTCTAACCAGTTGTGAAGGTATACTTAGTGATATACTGTGTAATGAGACTGATGGTTAGTGGACTGGAGACACATATATCAACTGGTTATATACTGTGTAATGAGACTGACGGTTAGTGAAGTGGAGAAATACATATTAACTAGTAATATACTGTCTAATGAGACTGTTGGTTAGTGGACTGGAGACATATACATCACATGGTTATATGCTGTGTAATGAGACTAATAACTAATAGACTGGAGACATACATATTATCTGGTAATATACTGCGTAATGAGACTGACAGTTAGTGGACTGGAGATATATACATCACATGGTTATATACTGTGTAATGCGACTGATGGTTAGTGAACTAGAGACACATATATCACCTGGTCTTACACTGTGTAATGAGACTAATGACTAGTGAACTAGAGACATATACATCACATGGTTATATACTGTGTAATGAGACTAATGACTAATGGACTAGAGACATACATATTAACTGGTTATATACTGTGTAATGAGACCAATGACTAATGGCCTGGCGACATAAATATTAACTGGTTATATACGGTGTAATGAGACTAATGACTAATGGACTGGAGACATACATATTAACTGGTTATATAGTGTGTAATGAGACTAATGACTATTGAACTGGAGACATATACATCACATGGTTATATACGGTGTAATGAGACTGATGGTTAGTGAACTGGAGACACATATATCACCTGGTCTCATACTGTGTAATGAGACTAATGACTAATGAAATGGAGACATACATATTAACTGGTTATATACGGTGTAATGAGACTAATGACTACTGGACAGGAGACATATATCAACTGGTTATATACTGTGTAATGGGACTGATGGTTAGTGGACTGGAGACACATATATCACCTGGTCTCATACTGTGTAATGCGACTAATGACTAGTGAACTGGAGACATATACATCACATGGTTATATACTGTGTAATGCGACTAATGACTAATGGACTGGAGACATACATATTAACTGGTTATATACTGTGTAGTGCGACTAATGACTAATGGACTGGAGACATACATATTAACTGGTTATATACTGTGTAATGGGACTGATGGTCAGTGGACATATATCACCTAGTTATATACTGTGTAATGGGACTAATGACTAATGGACTGGAGACATACATATTAACTGGTTATATACTGTGTAATGGGACTGATGGTCAGTGGACATATATCACCTAGTTATATACTGTGTAATGGGACTGATGGTCAGTGGACATATATCACCTAGTTATATACTGTGTAATGAGACTAATGACTAATGGACTGGAGACATACATATTAACTGGTTATATACTGTGTAATGAGACTAATGACTATTGAACTGGAGACATATACATCACATGGTTATATACGGTGTAATGACACTAATGACTAATGGACTGGAGACATTCATATTAACTGGTTATATACTGTGTAATGAGACTGATGGTTAGTGGACTGGAGACACATATATCATCTGGTTATACACTGTGTAATGAGACTAATGACTAATGGACTGGAGACATTCATATTAACTGGTTATATACTGTGTAATGAGACTGATGGTTAGTGAACTGGAGACACATATATCACTTGATTATATACTGTGTAATAAGAGTGATGGTTTGTTGACTGGACACATACATATTAACTGGTTATATACTATGTAATGAGACTGATGGTTAGTGAACTGGAGACACATATATCACCTGGTTATATACTATGTAATGAGACTGATGGTTAGTGAACTGGAGACATATATCAACTGGTTATATACTGTGTAATGAGACTAATGACTAATGGACTGGAGACATACATATTAACTGGTTATATAATGTGTAATGGGACTGATAGTTAGTGGACCGGACACACACATATATCACGTATTTATATACTGTGTAATGAGACTAATGACTAGTAAACTGGAAACATATACATTACATGGTTATATACTGTGTAATGAGACTAATGACTAATGGACTGGAGACATACATATTAACTGGTTATATACTGTGTAACGATACTGATGGTTTGTTGACTGGAGACATATATATCAACTGGTTATATACTGTGTAATGAGACTGACGACTGTTGTACTAGAGACATATATATCACCTGGTTATACATTGTGTAATGAGGAGGGTGTATTCTACTGTACCAATGTGTGTTTTCTGATAAAAAATAAGGTAATAATTTCAATGTGTTCGATAAGTTACTGCTGTAAAATTTCATAATATGGACATTCCTTTACTAAATAAATATATGTATAAGCCGTAGCGAAAGACAGTAGTCGACCAGTGACTTGTTGTAAGCATCTCTTCCCTATGGTATCTTGGGTATATCAGTAATGCTGATATCCCTCCTTGTTTGTGTTTGTCGCTAGGGTTGACACACTTTATAATCTAATTGTGAATAAACTACATAACACGGTAAGAAGATTGACCAATGGCCCCTTGCCTGTACACAGAACTCAGGTAGGGTCATTTCAGTAACGGATTCACACCAGCAAGTAATAGAAGAATGAAAACAGTCAGATCCACTATATTCCATTATACCATTAGGCCTATTCTGGATATTTTAATAGAATATATATATATATATTCACTTCTGAAAACTGAAAGTAAAGAAACAATTTAACCTACAACTGAAAATATTTATAAATATTCCTTGTCATTAGGTGTTGAAATTTTGCTCTTATACCAATGTTGTCGAACCCCGGATTTTGATCGTTGTAAGTCCGTAAACTTATCGTTAACCAACCACTGATCTCATATGCCATAATGATACTACTATGATTTATGCTACTGATAATACATATATTCCATCAACATTATAAAAACCTATAATAAGGATATATCTTTATCGAAATGTTTGTTGGAGAGGAAAATGGAATGACTTTTTAGTGAGAGTTTGACATGCTGTGAGTTAAGAGTTCGAGGTTTCTTTTATCTATATGAAAATGATAAATCAACGAAACCTTTTATTGTGAATGTGTAACGATTACTATACTGTTTGGGGATCTTTCACCTTTACGCACGGGATCCGGACATTTTGTTACTGGGCATTTCGTTACCGCCACATTGTTACTATGACAACTTGTGACGAAGGCATTTATGTTACATCATTTTTGTGTGACATGGCAAGTTTCTATTACGAATACTAATTTTGTGGCAGGGAGTTTTTAAAATACAAATTTGACTGGTGACAAGAATAAACAATGATAATAGATCATAAATTGTACAATCATTTGGGGACGATTCCAAAATTACATAACGCTATAAGGGTGAGAGGGTGTCTGAGCCCGAGACCACTTTTCGCAAGTGGGGGGCCCTTTGCCTGGTGTCTATGAAACCATTCATGATGGCCTTCTGGCCATTCCTTGAAGAAGTTAAAAACTCAATCCTCAGACACTCCATCCCCATCAAAGGAAAACACTTGTCAAACTAAACACAAACTGATCTCTCTGCTAGATAAAATTTGTCAAACTTGAAAACTTTTGATCCCTCTCTACCAGAGTGGGGTGAGGGGTGTACTCTGGTGCTTGAGATGTTACAGTAACTTGCATGCCGTAACGAAAGGTCCATGTCACAAGCTGTCCGTAACGAATTGTACCAGACTCGTACATAAAGAGCCCCATTCATGTGACGAGGCTTCAACACCATTGTAAGAACTGCAGCACAGTGCCTTATCAGGAGTGTCGACGGTCGCGTGTCACTCTTAGTTACAATTCTTACCTGTACACAACCACTAGGTCTACTTTCAGGAGTACTCCCAGAAAGATAACATTGTTTCCAATTGCCATGGAGATAAACAGACGAATTGTTTTTACGTAAGACCTATTGATGTGGAGTTTAATTGTGTTGAGGAGCAAAGTCCTACATTTCGTCATCTTCAAATAAGTATTTGTTAAAGTCACAAGGTTTATCGAAGCAGTGTTTGTAGTTATCAGTGTCGTTTTTATGTGGTGTTTTCTCCCCCGTCTTTTCCAGCCAGAATAATCAGTCTCTAAGTTTATAAGCGTGTTTTCAGTTTCTGATGGTAGAAATCAAGGAAACCGTGTTCGATCATTAGGGAAAGGAAACCGTAAAGAAAGCCCATGAATATTTTGATATTTTCAAAATAAAAGTAAACGAATATTTGTTCCAGATAAACCTCAGAAATTAAAATGGAGTCAAAGAAAAAAAGAAGGTAAGAAAATATTAGTCGATCCTGTTTTTATATATAGATCTGAAAAACAAACAGGAATTCTCTATCTTCATAGAGGTTATCAAAACCAGCCTTTCTCTGAGAACAAATATAAGAATAGATTCGAAAAGAAACTGTTTCAACCGTTAGGGTCTCGCGGAACAAGCTAATATTGGAAACTGTTTCAACCGGTAGGGCCTAGCGGAACAAGCTAGTATTGGAAACTGTTTCAACCGGTAGGGCCTCGCGGAACAAGCTAATATTGGAAACTGTTTCTTTACTTTAATTATATAAACAATGGAACTTCATTGGCTTTTCTTATGTTTATATAGAAATGGAGTGTCGAGAGTTTTTCTTTACTTTAATTATATAAACAATGGAACTTAATTGGCTTTCCTTATGTTTATATAGAAATGGAGTGTCGTGAGTTTTTCTTTACTTTAATTATATAAATAATGGAACTTCATTGGCTTTCCTTATGTTTATACAAAATGGAGTGTCGTGAGTTTTTCTTTACTTTAATTATATAAACAATGGAACTTCATTGGCTTTCCTTATGTTTATATAGAAATGGAGTGTCGTGAGATTTTATTTAATTATATAAACAATGGAACTTCATTGACTTTCCTTATGTTTATATAGAAATGGAGTGTCGTGAGTTTTTCTTTACTTTAATTATATAAATAATGGAACTTCATTGGCTTTCCTTATGTTTATATAAAAATGGAGTGTCGTGAGTTTTTCTTTACTTTAATTATATAAACAATGGAACTTCAATGGCTTTCCTTATGTTTATACAAAAATGGAGTGTCGTGAGTTTTTTATGTCCATTCACTTGTGTTATGAAGAAGCAAGGTTTCTTTGTGAAAACAAAATCATATATAAATAACATGTTTATCTAATCAGATTTTTATAAATAATTCTTGCATTTTTTCCATACGTCTGTAAACTACAATTTACACCCATTTCTAGTCTTTTATATTGATTACTTTTCTCTTTTAATTGTATTATCTGCATTTCAGTATTTTTTTAATTTATCAAATACTTTATTGCATGTTCTATATCGTGATAAAATAATTTTGTATTTTCGCAGAAATTACAAAACGTTACTAATTTCAAAACTGCGCAGTTGAAATTAATTTTCTTTAATCACTAGATGTCGCTAATTGTAGTGTTGCTTTCGAAATTAGAACTAAGTGCTTCAATGTACGGAGATTAGTTTATCAAGTTCCTAAACACCGTGTTTAAATAGAGATTCTCAACGTAATATCTCTAATACCGTGATATCAAGAATGAATTTAACTGGCTGCAAATTTTCTTATCATGCAGTGATACGAAAACTTCCATTGTATAACAGATTCCTTTCTAGGGGGCGGATACTTAACAAAAATTTCGATTGTTACACTACCTCAACTAAATTAAAACACACCATTCTCTGTCATTGAAAGGAATTTTTTATACACCTTGTACGAACTGAAAAGTGCATTTAAACTACATCTGGCAATCAATAATAGAACCATATAATTCAATACACAGAACACAGATTTATTTCACAAAAGAGATTTACCTAAGTTACCATTCTGTAAAATCACTAGATGGCGCTGTTAAAACCAATCCTGAATACACGATATAGGACTTCGAACTTTTTATACATTTGTATTATAACAATGTGCAATGCAATTCTTCTGTAACTACATTGGTATATTTACAGAGGCACAACATTGAACATTGTTATATAACTAATACAGTTCCAAAAGCAGTGCATTATCCATTGTTATATTAAATGTATTACAACAATGTACAATGCAGTGCTTCTGCAACTATATTTTTAATATAACAATTTCAGTGTCCAGCATCAGTTACTATTCACTGTGTTTAATAACAATGAAGTCAGTGGCTATCATCAGTTACTATTTAAGGTGGTTAATAACATTGAGGTCAGTGGCCATCATCGATTACTATTTATGGTGTTTAATAACACTGAGGTCAGTGGCCAGTTACTATTTAATGTGTCTAATAATACTAAAGTCAGTGGCCAACATGAGGTACTATTTAAGGTGTTTGATAACACTGAGAACAGTGGTCAGCTACTATTTAATGTGTATAATCATACTGAGGTCAGTGACCATCATCACTTACTATATAAGGTGTTTTATAACACTGAAGTCATTGGTCATCATCAGTTACTATTTAAGGTGTTTTATAACACTGAAGTTAGTGGCCGTCATCAGTTACTATTTAAGGTGTTTAATAACACTGAAGTCAATGGCCAACATGAGTTACTATTTAAGGTGTTTTAAAACACTGAAGTCAGTGGTCATCATCAGTTGGTATTTAAGGTGTTTTAAAACACTGAGGCCAGTTACTATTTAAGGTGTTTTATAATGATAAGGCTAATATCACTAACCAAAATTACTGTACTTGATGAAGTTAACATATAGTTCGAACCCTGTTTTGTGTACAAACCAATATAAAATTTCTAGGATTACTGGTGGTTCGCTTCCTTAGTCTAATAACACTGTCCATGATATTTGAGCATGATTTGCTGAATATTATTTAACCCTAGAATTACCGACAATTTCTACTGAAAACTAACTGATGAACTCTGTATCATTTGTTTCTTCTAGTGTTAGTTTCGATCAGAACGTGCGGAAAATATTGCCATCAGCGCCGCCTGTGGGAAGTATCGAAGATAAGGATCCGGAAGATGTGTATGCAAGTTTCGGTTTTAGCTACTCTCTAGCAGGAGGAGACAGATTTAAGGTTTTTTTAAACTTAATCATCCAAAATTGAAATCAAGTTAAAAGTATAAGATCTTAGAATGAAGTGTTATAGTCATAATCTTGATAATTCAGCCTAATCCTGACTAATTCTTAAGTGTGTAATAATTATTTTAAAAAATTATCATTCATCTAAACAAATTCTGGTGGCTTTTATGAGAACTAATTAAATATGATATTTAAACAATTTTCAATAAAATTAGAATTATTTCAAGTTATATACGTATAGGTATTGACATATAGCAGTTAAAATAAATAGGACAATGTTCAAATGTATTAAAATTCAAATACTGATTTTTTTAGGTTTATAGTCATACCTAAAACACTTTAGATAGCAAAGATATAAATGTAGAATGTAACAAGGATGTTCAAGCTTGTTGTAATCATAATAATCACGTTGGTTCACGGTAAAGTTTTGGTTTTTATATATCACCCAGTACATCCCCTTTGTTCGTATTCAAAATTGTTTGTTTCTTACAAATTGTTGGAAAATCATATAAAACCAGAAGCGATAGTTTTACTGTAGTATCGTTTATCTTCTCGTATAACGTAACAAAACCCAAAAAACATCAACTTATCTCAATGTCATCACAAGTTGTCGCACTAAGTTACATCACCGTTATCGCAAGAAAATCAAATAGGATTCTGGTAGCAGTCATTTTAATTTTATACTGACGTCACCACAGTAAAAAATTGCTGCGTTAAGTGTCCCTTATGTGACGTCATTTTAGTATCTACTGATTGACTGACAGACAACAACTACTGCATAGTGGTGCGAGTGATTGAAGCAGGTGATCCTTCCATACGGCCTTTTGGGGGGGCTTTCGGGGAAATTCTAGTTGTTTATGCTGCGAAACTAAGGCAACAAGAAACGCCAGAACATCGAAATATATGCATCCCTATATCTTATTTTTGTTTGTTCGTTGTTAAGTGCAAATTTATTCAATGAGCTACCTGTGCTCTACTCCCCGTTATAGGCCCCAGATTTGTCGTTGAGCCACCGGCGGATATCTCCTAATTTGAAACAAAATGCAGCAATCTACTAGTTATCGCGATGTGACGCAACATGGTCACACAAATGAATCATGTATGCCTACAGTTGCTATATAAACTGTAACTTACGTGATTTATTATTTATTTTATACTGTACTTAATTTCTCAAATCGAGGGCTGCTTTCTAGCATAGGTTCGTATATATGTTTAAAGTATTAAGCATTTTGAGTTATCACTTTAATGTTTTAATCAGTTTTTTTGTTATTATACACCTGTTTAATATATTAATCTGGTTGTTTATAGTACATCTGTTTGATGTATTGACCTGCTTGTTTATACATTATCTGTCGAATTCCTTCATCTGGTTTTTATTATACTATTATAACATGGTTGTTTATATATTACCTATTGTTTGTTTACGAATGAGCCAGGCGTGGCCTTGTGGTTAGCAAACACGAACATTGAATCCGAGGGCTCATATTTAGTAGTCTGATAACGCGAAACGTTCTCTCTACATTTGGAGCCGTGCGTTCGTTAAAGGAGTGACAGTCAAATACATCTATTTGGTCAGACAACAGTAACGAAGGATATAGGTGTCTAACTGTCTTCCAACTAATACATTATTTCAAAATCAGGGAAAGTTATACCTATCTATATGTGAGTTGTGATTAATGTCATATAATGTTCTAATATCTGAGTGAATATATTATGTGTTTAAGGTTGTAATCTTCTTGATCATATATTACGAGTTTGAAGTATTATCCTGGTTGTTTGTACGATATCTGCTTAATGTATTAGCTTTCCTGTTTATATATTATGTGATCAATGTTCTAATTTGGTTATTTATATATCTTATATGTGTAAATA